CACAGTAAATATCTATATTAAAATGTCCAGCGGTGTATTAAAGATGGTTGCCTCATTCTATAAGTGGACAGAGCAGTGAGGTTGTTGCCTCCCCCCATGCCCCACCCCCAAACACCTGGCAGAATTTTCTTTTTGATCAAAACCTCTTTTCGCTTACAGTCCTGTTCATGCATATGGAAAATGATGTGATCTACTGCTGATGGAAATCTCAGACTTCTTGCTAACTTTGCAGCATTGGCCTGTCATATACAATATAACATATGGTTAAGTGCATATGGCTTATGCCTGGCTTGACCATTAGTGGTCATTTCCGCTGTGTCCTCTGGGTGAAGCTTAACAGGTGGTTTTGGACTTCACACGCAGTTTACCAAAAGTCACCCTCTGTTACAACTGCCAGATCCTTAAAGACCAAGTAAGTACACTGAGATAAATTAACTGTTTGCACCAAAATGGAGTCACAGTCTTACACAGCACACAGTGTCCACCTGATAATGCATAAGACAGCTAAAGAGCAAATCCCTCTTTTTTACAAATTCCTGTGAAAGACAAGGTGTTAAGTTAGATCAGTCCGGACACTGTCAATATAAACATTCCTCATCAGAGAGTCACAGTCAATATATTGATTGAGCAATACATCACTAGAGCTCTACAAGACATTATTTCTAATTAAAACGTAAGCCATAACTTCTAGGGTTTATGGCCACGACAGGACTGTAAATAAATCAGGCTGTAATTCCTGCTGCCCGCCTCTCTAGACGCCATAGACTACTAAGACAGCACATTCTTACGGGACCTGGAACGTCACCGGTGTGGTCCGAGCACGGCACACGTACAGCCAATCCCGTGGCCGATTAAGGGAGAACTTTGTCTCCAGGCGACTAGTAAAATGAATAGCAAAAAATGTTGTTTGTGGAACGAATAGACAATTTTCACCATGTAGACGGCGCATGGATTGATACGGACCCTATTTTCTCTTCCTCTTTCACAAGGGGCCCCAAAGTGGAGATGGGCCCCCATTCCTCATGCTTCGCATACCTGCTGAACGTGACCTTGACCCACATCATGGCGACATGTAGTTTACAGACTCCCATCACCTGTGGAGGGGGGGGGGGGGCTTCCTCAAAAAAGCGAGGGCATTCCAACGTGCTGCAGTGGAGCGAGGAAATAGCTGGGGGAGGCGGGATTCACAAGGCTACCGAACTGGCAAACAGCCACATTAGCTCGTGATACAGCACTCGTCTCAGGTCAGGGCTAAATTACACCACGTTTATCCCCGTTTTAATACACTCAGTCTCCGGTTTAGAAGCAGCATTTTGAAGAAACACTAGCCGGCAGCATGGCCTTGGCAGAGCGAGCCAGGAAGGGGCACTCTGTCCCACTTCCCCACTTCAACTCTTAGGTGAGGTCAAGCCATCATTTGCCACCCAAACGGCAACTTTAAGACAACTGCAGAAACATACAATCGCTAACAAAATGCTAATTAAATGTTAGCTGGAGGTACTCGTCGCCGGCTCTCAGTTTAACAGGTTTCGGACATGCGGAGAGGCTGAACGGCTCCGATTCCCCCTGAAATGAATAGCCATATTGTCAGAGAGCATTACGGTGACAATCAGGTGCGACCCCGGGCCACGCTGACACCGACAGGTAACCTCTACCTTTCACGCAGGTTAATCAGCATCCAGAGGTGACCTCAGAGGTCAGCTCAGGCAACGAGATAAAAACATCCCCCCAGGTGTTCCTAAAAGACCCACCCCAGTCTGGCCAGTTTCTGGTGCCACATTAGAGCCTCCAGCAAAGACCACAGTGACGTCTACTGCGCAAGGGGGGCCTCCAGCCTATAAGGCTGACATTGATTAATGAATGGCGAGAAGAGTGACACTGGGCCCCGGAGCTGTCAACACCACCTGGACCCCTCACCGGGATGGGAAAACAAAGACACAGAGGCAGTATGCTGTCTTTTACAGGTCTGCCCCCACAACTGCCTCCATCAGGTCTCTAATGGTCCATTATCACCTGATATCCCACAGGGGACACTCTCCCAGTGGCTAAAACAAGGGGTAGCGACCCCTCCCACCCCACACACACCCCAAAGATCACATAACAATGGCAGACCCCACAGGTGGAAGGTAGAGTCTAAGGGATACACTTTCACCGTTTTCCAGAACTTTCCGCTGCCCGGTGGCGAATGCTGGAACCGCAATGCGTCGGATCTTGAAGCTGGCACGAAGACTGGCTGGCAGATTTATGGATGGACATATGCGTAACACATCTAATATGCCCCCTGCCCCCCCGCCCCAACAACAGACTGCAGTGTCGCAAGGTTAAGCCCAAGCAGCAGATAAATGCCCGTCAGTTCAGTGCGATGGGCTCTCTTACACAAGGGCGGCTCAACTTTAATCCACGCCCTCCGTCACCATCTGATAATGTCGTGGGGCCGCCAACGTTTTAAATCTCATTGGGGCCGCAAACCTTATCGAGGCGATTCACAGCCCCCGCCTCTGAAATCAAACACAAAAAAGCAAAAAGCACAGAAAGACTTTATTTACCATCAGCTCTGGTAAACATGGGTGTGCAACACAGAGGGTGGAGGGAATATAGATGATGTGGAGAGTGAAGTCATGAAAGGACATCAAGACAAGAGCAGTGAGGGACAAGCATAAGTGAAGCAGGGGCACAACTTACTGGACACAAAGACGAATAAATTAATCAGTTAATGAAAGTCTAATAATTTCTGCATGACATGCACTTCTGAGAATTTCATTTTCAGGACACTGTGTCTGTGATGTGTTGTTGGTTCAAAGCCCAGGGTTGACACCGTTGCGTCCTGAAGCAAGCCCCTTAACCCCCTAACTGCTGCAGGGACTGGACCCTCCTTTCTCAAAAAAAATGTACGCTGCATTGGATAAAAGTTTCTGCTAAATAAAAAGTGGTTAAGAAATGCATGCAATGGCATGTTTTAAGAAATTGACGTGGGCAGCAAGACGTGGGGCCGTTAGTCAAGTGCTTGTGTACGACACATGTCTGTACCCCATGTGGGGACCCTTTAAGCGTAATGAGACCCTAGTCACAGCACAGGATGTCGTCACCTTGAAATGTGCCGCCACAGGAGAGAGTGGCGAAAGCTGTAGGCTGGTGCTACAAAACACCCCTATACACACACACACACACACACACTGTGCCGTTTGACTGGCTGGTGACAGATCCTGCAGTAATCCAAGCCCCAGCCCACTTTTCACACCATGCACTTGGCCATCAGCGCTCCGGGGAGACACTGACAGACAAACCAATTATCACCGCTCACGCACCCTACCCAACCCCACCCTGAGGAAGTCGTTAGAAGAAGGTACACTCCCCACGTTCTGGGGTGACGTTTGATCGCTAAATTGTGAGCAGACAGGCCGGGGTGCCGCCACAGAGAGCGGGCAGACACCGTTTTTCCTCTCGGCAAACAAACATGCTCACACGCTCGTTTTCTTGTTAAAAAATGCATTTGCTAGCCAAAGCGCAACCGGACCCAAGAAAACGCGAACAATTCCCGCGTTCAATCCAAATTCGCTCAGCACAGATCTTGTCACCATTATTTGTTTGGTGTCCCTTGCTCCCTTGATTCAAATAACTCCATTTGCGTGAAGTTAGAGGGGGCACTAAGAAAACAGTAAGAGCGGCGTCTGATTGATGCAAAACACCAGGACTGGTAAAGATAACAGAGGCGAAGGTGACACGGCCACCCAGCATAGAGGATCCCTGGGTCCCGAAGTCTCACCCAGGGAGGACAAAGCAAACCTAGGGCACAGAGATTTGTGGACTGCCAACATTGCTCGATGCTGGAGGATAGGACCCAGTCAACATACAATGTTTCTATGCATCTGGATGCTTCTTAAAAATGTGCATAGCAGAAAAGATTTATGAGAAGTGAGTGCTTAGCTTTCAGCTTCCTCTCCGTCTCTTAGAGCATCTCAGCAGCATAACGCATTGATCACCAGGCTAACACCTTATGGTGAATATTATTTTTATCTTTATATGGACACAGCCCTGGGCTGGACCAGCAATCACAGCACAGTGTCCCCCAACTCATGCCCTGTGCTTCCTGGCCTACACACTCGACCTGCACGAAATAACAGGCTGAATGGGTGGATGATGGATGGATACACTGGTCTTATATTGCCAGCATGACATACCTATATCAAGTCATTCTAAGGAATAAACCATCAAAACAGAGTCCTGGAGAAGACTTGCCGTAATTTAAACATGCCTTCATTTTATGTGCTTGTCAGCCATACTAATAAGTATCAAGCAAAGATTGAATAGATCAGATCGTATGTGCTATATATACACACACATCGGTCTGATTATACTGTATGTCACAAGTCACAGTATCCCTACCGCTCTACTCATGTCCACACGCAAAGCTGCAGAACTACGGGAGGAAGGTCGACGGGTTCGGTGGTGTCCTGCCCAGGGACAGTGGTGCAGTGGGTGTCGAAACAAGAAGACCGACAAATCTGCCAGAGGAGGCAGGACAGAAAGGAGGCCAGATGCTGTTTTGCATGATTAGTGTGGAGACGTCATCATTTGCATTACGAAACGAGCTCTGAACGCGTGCGCACGGTGCACAAGGGAAGGCTCAAGGCCTTACCCGAAATTTCCGAGCCATTTGCATACATCAGTGGATGCCCTGGACATTGAGAGGAGTATGGGGAAACACAACCTTCTCCTGTTCTGGCCTATTTGAATACCTTGTGAAAGACGGGACATGGGTGGTTCATATGCATTCAGGTTCACACAAAACAACCCCACGACCCCACGTTTGGCCCAAAGCATGTTTGCCTAGTTAGCGGGTAGCACATGGAAAGCCCAGAACATTGCCACCTGAAAATGTCAGTTAGAGCTCACCAAGATTCAGCGCTCACTGACAAGCGAAGCTGTGCATCTAACAAGGAAACAAATTATACACACACACCCACACACACTCACACACACAAAGACAACTTGCAACGTACCTTTAAGTCTTCCTCACTGTGCTGAAACGCCTTAAAAGTCCCACGCATCACATTTCACGTCCAGATGAACTCTTCGGTTCTGCAGAACAGGTGGGAGTCAGTCAGGAGTGGCCAGCACACAGCTGCATGGTTTTTTTTTGTTTATTTGTTTTTAATCATTGAGAGTCGTGTTACGGGACAATCAAAGCTGATGAAAATAACAGTAATACAATACCCAGCCCCCCCCCCCCCCCCCCCCCCCCCCCCCCCCCCCGTTACAGCAACCGGCACGGCCTTTGTCTTTAATGCTGCCTGCGTGCACAAAGCCCCGCTTTCAATTCAGTAGATGTCGCACCTTCTTTGCCTGTGGCACGTGAGTGAAACGAAGAGCGGGGAAAAAAGCACCTTTCGGTCATTTGGCCATTCGGCGGCGGGCCATTATGAGGGCTACTTAATAGACTCTTCATGAATGTTTTAGATGTTGTCTCTCCCCTGCTTTGGCAATGGGATGATTATATATGTATGAAGAACTATTCAGGTCACATCAGCATTTAATGGGTGATTTATGCTCACAATGTGACTCCTCCACTGCTCTCAGCGCAGAGGGACTGATTTAAAGAGCATTAACCTCATAGTAAATATCCCACACAAAACTGACATTTACGTTACCAGGACTCCATTCTTTCTCTCTCATTTTTCCTTCTCTGCCGATCCATTTTCATGTATCAAAGGATTTCCAATATCAAAATGTAGAATTTAATTACATCTGAATTAATAAGACGCTCAAGCAGACTGAGTGGACTATCCTGTCTAATTAATGTTTCAGACCTTTAAATTATTCATACTCTCTTCTGGGTGGATATTTAACAACATACAAGCAAATCTGAAGAAAACATCTGAAAATGGAGAAATGTATGAACCCCCCTCCCCCACCCACTGCATTTTCCCTATTCTCATTCACACAGGGCTAAGCGGCATCCAGTTGTGAAATCGATTACCTGAAAAGCGACTCCCCGTTTGATAAAAGAAAAAAGTCAGATGCAGCCGCAGTAAGAGGGAACACGAGGAAACACTGTCGCCCAGCTTGTACTCTTTCACAGAAAACCCTGTCTCACAGCCGTGAATCAGGCAGGGATGTCGGGAACTGAACTGGACACAAACTGACCAATCAACATTGCCCAATGTGTTTGTTAAAGCCAGAGATAAAAAAAGAGCATTTAATCTATGTCTCATTCATCCTCCATAAGGAGCATGGTTTACTGATATCTAGAGCGGAAAGCACATGTCACAGGAGAACCCATTCCTAGCTGCCTGATTGGCCAGCCATAAGTCACATGATGCATTTGTGAACTGGGGCTCATCTATAACTCTGTATCACACATTCTGTATTCGCCTACACACAGGTGCAGCTGAAGCTTTTAGCGGATCCTGAACTCATCCCATCTACCTCTATTATCTGGTTACTCTTGGGCACAGAGCTGCAGTGTCCGCGCATGGGTGGTTCATCCGGCATCTGACTGGAATCCAACTGCACATGCTAATCCTTTCAACTGAGTGAACTTTTCTGTTTGTTTACTGTATGCAAAATAAAACTAATCACTTCACTCTCTGTCCTTTTAATTACAGGCTTCGTTTATTAATTTTCCCTCAGACAGGTTCACGCCACAAGCACCACTTCTAAGGTGTTCCCTGCACTGTATCCTGTGTTTCCTCAGAAAAGCTCCAGGTTCACTGCAGTACCACACTGGAAATGCATTTGGAAGATGGACGGATGGATAAACCAATACCAAGCCACAAATTTAACCCAGTCTGAAAGTTCCTGGTCTGGTATCACCATCCTTTAATACACAGTTTGATTTACACACTACAGGTCACACAGCAGTGAAAGAGAGGGACTCTATCCATCACTATAGGTGGACATTTGAAGTTCAGAAAGTAAATCCAGACCAAAATTTTGTTTCAACCAACCAGTTGAGTACTCCGTGACTGTGACTCTTTATCCTCAGCTGGTTGGTTGAAATAAAATCTTGGTCTGGTTTTTTACTTTCTGACCCTGACATGTCCAGCTCTGCTGCCATCTTTCAGACCCCTGATAGACCTGTAAGACATGCTGTGAAATCCCCCCCCCATCCACACACCACATCCACCCACAGGCCATTTCTTCATTAGAGAAGGGGCAAAGCAGAATTATGGAGGATACCCGATTTCCTGTTTATTTAATATAACTACCTTACAGTTTCACCATTCCATTCCCATTCCACTGTATTTTTCTGCTGCCTGCGTTCTCTAATCAATCAGGTGTTCGGTTATGCTTTGCTATGACAAACTCTCTGCAAACCTTGCTTTGTTCAGAATAAAGCTTTTCAAATCTGAACCAATTCCACGAGGACCAAATGATTTACGACCTTTTTTACAGACTCATCTGGATTAGAAGTACTGTCTGTCTCTATGTCAGTGTAAGGATATTTGTGCATGTGTGCTGCTGATGGAGGATGGTATGGTTTATCAAGCCAAGAAGACTGTTTTTCTTCTATTGCTTGACAAGAAGTATTTAGCAATAGAATTTACTAATATATCAGATTTCTGCAATGGACTGGCATCTCATCCAAGATGTAGTTCAGTCTTGTGCCCAGGCTGCCTAAAATAGGCTCAAGCCCACCTCCAATCTTGACCAGGATAAGCAGTGGATGGATGGATGGATGGATGAATAATTCTCGATTCTGAAATTTTGCACATTGTCTTAAAACACAAATTCAAATTAAATTATGCCATCATGACAATTGCCCTGCCCTACGAGTATAGCTAATAAAGATAGCACTGTGACAATATGCAATGCAAAGAGACACAGCAAACTCATCTTTCACTTTACGGAGGCAGCCGTAAATCAATCAGGTGTTCGGTTATGCTTTGCTATGACAAACTCTCTGCAAACCTTGCTTTGTTCAGAATAAAGCTTTTCAAATCTTGTGCCCAGGCTGCCTAAAATAGGCTCAAGCCCACCTCCAATCTTGACCAGGATAAGCAGTGGATGGATGGATGGATGGATGAATAATTCTCGATTCTGAAATTTTGCACATTGTCTTAAAACACAAATTCAAATTAAATTATGCCATCATGACAATTGCCCTGCCCTACGAGTATAGCTAATAAAGATAGCACTGTGACAATATGCAATGCAAAGAGACACAGCAAACTCATCTTTCACTTTACAGAGGCAGCCAGAATCTCAGCGCAGGTCCCACTGACTGTCCCAACTGTCAAATTTGTGGTCTAGAGGTTTCAGCCTACCTCTCCACGGGGTTCCATTCTCACACGGGCTGCCAGGCTGTTCCACTGGAAGTGCCCGCGTTGACAACAGCACTAGCGTGCTGGACTTCCCACACCACCTCCAACGGCTAATCCCATCCCATGTAAGCCGCAATATCCCCCTCCCCAACCACCAGCAGCAAACACCGAAAATGCAAGAAAAAGAAAGAGCCGGGAAAGCGAAAGCACTCTTGCGAGAGAAACAGAAAACTACCAAAGCTTAAAAGAAATCAATAAATAACGGAGTGATTCATTTAATATTCCTGTGGTGGTCCCTGGCCAGTATTTACAGGCATTCACTCTTCCAATGTTGCTGCATTTTTTTCCCATTCAAAAGCTTCTCCTTTTTAAATCACTGCAGATAACTCTGGGCAGTATCAGCGGAAATGCACCCGGACATGCGAGGTGCATATTTGTGTATCAATGTGTACTGGCTTCCCCTTTCCTGCAGAGAAATTTTTGAAAATGGGTTTTTAAAAAAAAACCAGAAACAGGTTTTGCTGCATGCCAAGAACGCTTGCCATTTGAGTTTTTAACAAGCTCTTTGATTCTTAATGAAACGTGGCCAGCACATGCAGACCCAACAGGCATTTATTCTCCCCCGCAGTCTGCCCTTCAGAGCAACAACTGGGGGGAGGGTCCGCATTACCAGTTTCGGAGACGCACAGTGGAGTGTTTATCGATGATCTGGAGAGTGACGATGGGGCCAATGAGAGATGGAGAGCTCTGAGGAAGACTTGGTTCCCAGGGGTCACATCAAGTCCAGGCAAGCTGATAACAATAGACTGAAATAGCTGGAGACCCCTGGGAGGGGATTATATATTTAAATCCATCCGTGCTCGTGTCTGCATTCCAATGAAGTAGTCTCACCTCCCAGCACCCCAAATCTCTCAACTCTCTATGCAAGAGCCAGCATCAGTGTGGCTGCACCATAACTAGACCTATTAGCGACCGTGGGGGCCCACGGCTACACTGAAGCTGATGGCTGGTCCTCTGAAGTCATAGAGTAATAACACATAAGGGGAGGGTAGTAGTACAACTCACAGGAGGCAAAGATGTGGAGGCAGCGGGTGGGGGGAGGGGGGGGGTGACACGTGGCTGCAGTGAAGGATCACTGTCTATCCTTTGCTTACTGGAAGGGAGCCAATATCAGAAAAGACAGGACTAGAAGTGACAGACTCAGCATCGCCATGTGTTCGTCAAAGCACACCACTGCGGCCCATACAATTTTCCTCTCTGCTGAGTCCTAAAAGGACCACTGAAGGCTGGTTATCTCCAAATAAGAACACCATTATAATAATGCCGCAATTTTTGTTTGGAATACATACACTTACTCGACGAGAGACGCGACACAGAAACATCGCATTAAAGTCAACGGAGGAGAAAATTGCAGAGTCGGTGATGGTGAGACCTGACCAAAAAGGGTCTCCTGGGGTCCGTGCTGTACAGCCAAACACCCTTTTAACACAGAAACAATGTATTTATTCTGTGACAGGACATTGTCCATAAACAGTTTACAATAAAAATGAAAAAGATAACACCATCGACGATCGTTTACATTTTGAAGCCACAAACCCCATTATGAGAGAGACAACGGGTGTCCAAAGACCATACGGCCATGAGGTGAATATCAGGAAGCGTGATTTAAAAAGGAAATGCCTTGATGGAACACGAAAATAAAAGTGAACAATTTTGAAAATGGAGAGCTTTTATGACACCATAAACGGTTTGTCCGAAAAAATGGATTCTGCTCATCTCTGGCTTTCGAAAAATAAACTACAAAAAATCTGAAGCTTATCACCAGCAAAGAGAAAAAGAATAAAAGGTTCTGGGATTTTATTGTTTTTGTTCTTAATCCTTTCAGGAAAAAGGCTGATATTTTGCAAAGGCTTGATGAATCAGGTACCCCAGCTCCCCAGCCCATGAAGAGGGCTTTTGAAGAGCCGGGTCGAGCGAAGCAGACCGCAGCCTGTGTGCTTCTGATAAACCCGCTTAACCCTGCGGCCTTTAGCCCTTCCCAGGTGACAGGTGTGCTGTGAAACCCGATGTCCCAGAAGGGGAACAGGGTGACATTGTGCCCGAATCGGCTGTTCAAAAATAGGCAGGAAAGGAAAATGGAAAGGACAAAACAGGCATTCTTGAATCCCTGCAAAATGCAGGTAAATTGGCAGATCTGTGGAGGATGCAAACCTCTCCAACCATCAGCTGTTCTTTGGAACAGGAATAAAATGAGCAAAGTAAAGTTTTAAAGTGAGGGACAGTAACAGTACTGTGGGAAGATACCACCTTTCATCTAGTACAAGTACTCTAATCAGGAACACATGGCAGTTTTGGTCCAAACACATTTTGGACTTTTAGTTAGGTGCTCCATTAAAAGCAACCAGAATTATCTGAATGAAAGCAAATAAGAATTCACACCCCCACACAGGTAGCTGGCTCCATTATGTCACAGAATTAAAATAGCTACACAAACAGCCGCAAGCTTTAGTGATGTCTGACTTCCTGATTAAAGGTTCCTGTGTTACAGTGCATCCTTTAAATGCAAATCATTGGTGCATTAAAGGATCACACCAGGACTCCCCACGTCATTAAGATGCCCTCAGCTTTATTATGTTAAATTTGAGCGCTTGAGATTCCCAAATAAAGAAGGCACCTCAGATAAAAAATAAGGGTTTGGTTCAAATCAGCTCCATATTTATCAGGCAAAATAAGATGGCATTATCATTATGTTATTTTGTTTTGGTTTTATAAAAAGTTTCCTGGCAAACAAGGTGATCTGGTGAGAAACATTCAGATATTTTTACTCAGATTAACGTACAGCTGGGCAGCCTAATAATTATGCAGAAGACGCTGTACTGGGAATATGAATCAATCTCCAGCTGCACCGACGGCGAGGTGTAGTGATGAGAGGCATCTCACAGTGTGCAGGATGGTGCGGTAGCCTGCTGACACCCCCCACACAGGCCCTTCGGACACGCTGGCATGTTAACCTCAGGAGTTATTTCCAAACGTTGGACGATGAGAAGCAATGCATTACCTCCAAAAAAAACCAAAAAAACAAAGATGGGGCCTCCTGTTTAAGATTCCCTTTTTACTGTATTAGCGAAAGGATGGGGTGGGGGGGGGAGTCTTTGTGAATAACACCAGCCAACAGCTCAGTAAAAGGAGGATGCTGGAAATCACTGAATATCGCATTACACGTGATTTAGTGCCAGCGGGTTTACAGAAATCTGTCTCGCCTGGCATGCAGTCATGGGTGGGGTTTGTAATATTATTGAAGCTCTGACAGAGAGACTTAATAAAAACATAAGACATGGGTTGCAAAAAAATGCTGGTTAACCACGTGTGAAATTAGAAAGCAATTCTTTAACCAAAGCATAAATATCAATATGTAAAACAAAACTGCACTAACAGAAGCAGCACAAACAGAAGCGGCAAAATCATGATGGAATTATGAATGAATGAACAGATATAGTTTGGGGGAAGAATGCCAAGACAAATATCCTTCAGAATGTACTTCATCGACCTTCGTATAAATGCAAAGGATGGGAAATATGGTGACTACAACTACAACTCAATACGCAATACTGAGCAAACGCAAAATGAGGTATAATTGTGTTAAATTGGTCTATTTCAGAAAACCCAGTTGGGTCCATTGTATGGGGCATAAAGTGGCCGCTACCCATAATTACGCAGCGCTGGCTAAACCCTCCACGCAAACGTCCAGCGTGTTGCCCGGGCGGCTTATCTCGGCCGCAACAGAGCGATACGCATCTGACTCCGGGGAGAGCTGCCGGCCCGCGGCGTGTCAGCGGAGCCGGCGGCCGAGGCGATAAGAAGCCGCGGCTGCACGGTGACACCGTGTCCGTGTAAACGACTCGGTCTCGTCGCGGAAACAGGACAGATAAGGTAGCGTCCTCATCGGGAGCCCCACGGAGGTACACCGTGGGAATTTAAAAAACGACCGCTCGCTCGTTTGAACAAAACGCGCCGTCAACTAAACGCAAAACCCAGCCGGAGGGGGTTAAAAAAACAACGTTTTTTGTGATTTCCTCACAGCACTGTCAGTCATGATACCATTCATCACCATAATCTGCTCATTGAAAACAAATACTGCGATACATTTAAATAATTGTCTAATTTAAAATCTGATAGCAGCTGGTTTTGTCTATAGAAATATTAACAAAATGTATTTTAACACATGTTGATATCTCATTTAAATTACTGTAAATTGTACTAAACATCACCCAGTCGTCATTAGTGGTACTCGGGTATCCGTATACTGCTCTGGGCTTTATCAGTCCAATCCTAACAGGCCGTTTTGCAGGTTTCCCGCTTCTTTCTTCCTGCATGTCCCTACGAGTCCGCGCGGCGTCGGCGCGCCCGCCAAAACCAAACGGCCGGCCAACGCCAGCTTATCTGTACCCTCGTGACTCTTACAATTCATATGAAAAATAAGAAAACAATTTTAAAATTAATGAGATATGCGTCCATCCATCTTCTATCCAGCTATATGGTTATCCTGGTCTAGGGGGTGGCTGAAGCGTATCTCTGGCATAACAGGGCACAAGGCTATTATAAAACTTATTTACTTACTTGATTGATTGATTGATTGATTAAAACACCTCATGGTGCTACACTGAGGGTCAGCACTGTTACATCACAATACTGTATACTGTAGATCACTTGTGCTGAGTCAGGTTCCAGATTTTAACCAGGATTTTTGTAAATAAAGCTTTGGTAACTACAGTAAACAGAAGCCGTAAAAATAAACGGCCTTTCCAAAACCACAAATGCATAGTTTATAAGGCTCTGGCAGCAGAAAGCCCTAATGTCCAAAGAATGACCTAAATACATCAGCAGAATAAGTTATTTTAACTGTGTCAAGTAAACATATCAAATTTAAAAATAAACTTCGTCAGCATCACAAACAGGAATGTGTACTGATTTACTATTAAGCCATTCTTCAAAAAAATTCAACAGCTATAGAAAAAAGAAATTCTAAACTTGACACCGTCTAAACACAGAGGATCATCTAGATACAGACAAAAAGCATCATCCACACATCAGATGGCCTTTATGGCAAAATAACTTGTTCGCTGACATCCCCTTAATTCACCCTGAGGAATAAAAGCACAAAGGTACTTTTGTTAAGTTAAATAAAAAACCTTTTCTGGAGGAAGCTGCACATGTCAGCCTTAAAACACCGCCAGAGTGACTCAAGTCTGGCAGGGCTGCTAATCATAGCTTAAGTGCGTGCTTTCAAAACGAGCCGCGCACTCTGGTGAGACAAGGCCCGAACCTCCAAATAGGGGAGTAGTCATATTATTATCTAAATCTCCACCGAACCAATTAAGCAGTCCCGGCTGCCAGCACCGAACCCAGCTGCAACTGACACAAAATCCACCCTTAAATCTGGAAACGTAAATACGCTATTCAGTGGTGTTCTCATAACGCTACACCAAACAATTATTATTACAAAAATTACAATTAAAAAAACAACAACAGAAAGAAATGATCTCATCAGCAAAGCACCAAGCTCATTTCAATTTACTCTGCAGATAGACGGTGGCCCGTTTCTTTGAGCGACTGAACTGTGGGAACTGAATAATCATTTTAGCAGAAGCATAAACAGTACAGTAATGAATCTGTCTCTCCTAGCAACAGCTGTTTGTCCAGCACAGGCAAGGCCGGCTCCGTGCGGGGAAGACGAATGATTCAGCCGTGCTGGGACCGGCGGGAATTGACGTGTGCCGCACTTGAGAGACGGCGCCAACAGAACAGGGCATCATTAAAAGCAGTCCGTAAGGTTACAGTGTAACACTAGAGTCTGCATAGCAAACCTACCCCTCTCCTCGGCACGGTAATACTAAGGCTAGCGCTGACGCGCCGCCCGGGGGAAGGAGCGTGTGGGCTGTGGACGTGACGTGACCTTGAAACGCAGCTGGGGGGCGCCAGAGCCGTGACTACCCCCAGCCGCCCCTCGAAATGGAGAGATGCTCCTCCACATGCACAAAATAGTTTATAAGGGCTGGTTCTGACACACACTTTAGAGCATCGCTGTTAATTATCAATTCCAGAACCGCTTTCTTCATCACGCCCACGGCAACACTACAGGATAAGATGGCTGAGTAACCATTCGCCGTAGAGCGGTGTCATTGGCTTGTAGGTGAGGGTACTTCAGAGGCAGAGTATTGCCACCTCTCGTCACACTTTCCGGTGTCATCGGGGCAGAGGTCATACATGTGACTCAGCTGGGAAGACCATATCTATTCAATTTTAGATTGATGTCTTTAGCTGAGCCTCTCAGACGGATGGATCTAGAAGGCGGGCCAGGCGGCATGGTGTGCGTCCGGTCAGCAGCACGGTCGCGGTGACAGGCTGATTTAATATGCCGCTCCTCGTGCTGCCAGAGGGGTTGTGGTGAAAGATCAATTTAATAAGGCTAATAAGTCCAGCCTCGCTGACAATGACCGCACGTTCAGATTGCAGCACGGTCATAGTGGCAGGCTAATTTAATAAGCCGCTCTCCGACGTACGAACGACTGAATCCTCAAGTTGCAGTACGGTCATTGTGGTAGGCTAATTTAATAAGCTGTTCTTTAGCTGGGGAGTGACCGCACGCTCAAATCGCAGTACGGTCATAGTGACGGACTAATTTAATAGACTGTTCTTCATCTGACCGAGAAAAGGAGAGTACAGAAGTTATATGCTGTGATTTTGACCACTTGGGAAAGGGTGACCCAATGATTAGGCATCAGTAATTACATCATTGTATGGTGAAATAATCAGAGTGCTTATGTGCTGTGTTGTTTATAATTACATAGGACACAGTTTAAGAGCTTTAAGAAATCTTCTTCTGTTTAAATAAACGGGTAACACTTTTATTATAGGGCCATCTCCTTAACTACTAATAAACTGAATTATTATATTACTGAATGAAAAGATTCACTTACAATCAAATTTTGAAACGTATTACAAAGATATCTTACTCCTGTCTCACAAAGAATTTACTAAAGCACTTGTAAATGCTCAATTATAAGTAATTTCTGAGCCTGCTCAGAAAGTGATTTACAAGTTGTTCTGTAAATACCAGAAGATGATTGTAATACATTTCTAATTTTGTTTGAGAGTGATTTTTTATATTTATATTAACAAATGATTAGTAACGGGAGCAGACCTTAAAGTAAAGTGTTACCAATAAATGTTAAACATATTTTTTACGTTTTCCCCAGGAATACTGTCAAATCCATTGTAAAACTATCGAAAATAAGAATATCAAAGTGACAGAGCTATATAAACACTATATTACCTGCAGCCTAAAGGAAATAAATGCATTGATTTAATTTATGTCATTTTGGATTTCCAGAATATATACCAAACTCAGGGAGGTAAACCCTCTGTGGGCCAAACTCATTGATTAGTCATGTTTCTCATTACCAGAAATGTAAAATGGGCTTCGGTTTTGTCTACAGGCCCCAGACCAGATGCCCAGACCTTGCCTGTGGCAGATTTTCCCAACCCAGTTTCCTGTACAATTTCCTTTTCATCGTTCTGTCCCCTCTTCCATCCCTCATCCCAACCGGAGGTGAGCTTCATTCATAAGTTCTTTTAACTGTATCTTTTAATATAGAACTTGCAAATGATGTAGCGTTAAGAAGGCTTCGGGAAACACACACCGGCGTGACTCTCGGACTTCCCTCCACCTGCTCTCCTGCTGCCCTGGAGGCATTCATAAGCCGAAACCAGCAAGCTGTCCTCCTCGGGTTTGACTGACACAAGACGAATCTTGTCAATTCAGCGATCAGCATTCAGGAGACGCAGAGCCCAAATAATTAGTTAATGGAAACAGGTGTCCTGAAGCCATCCACTCCCACATCATCGTGAGCCGCTTCTTCCCAGATTGGCAAAATATCATAACGCAGGATGGATATTATGCTTTTGCTCAACAGCTTTCACGTTCAGGAAAATAAATCTTTCAACTGACACATTCGTACATCTCTTTGCACCATAAAGACTGAACATAAGGTATGAGATGAGTCCATAAAATAGTTTTTTTCCCCCCTCTATTCAGTTTTTTTTTTTCTTCATGTGAAACGAGTTCTAATTAATGCTATAAAATCTCATTTGACACTGTAACAAAGTCAGCCTTTTCTGTGCTTGGTATCTTGACAGCTACAGTGGAGTTCAGTAGGACTTTTTTGATCATGGTAGTCCAATGATGCTTCTGGGTAATGGGCTCCTGCACATTTGTAATTATTTTAAAATGCAAGTCTAGCCCCAGTAACCTTCACAAATGGGGAAAAAAAACATATGTATTTCAGACATAAATGCAGATGGTGTTGATGTATTTGGCCAACAGAACGTCAAGGCTGCAACCATGCTACAGCTCGAGCCACTGCGAGACGTCAGATTTACCAGCTTCTCTGAACCTGAAACACTGGCGCTAAGATCAGTCAGCTGAGCATGAAAGGACCTGTCTCCGTCTCCATTTCAAGACCATGAATCTTCTTATGTCTGGGCTGTTATCTGTCGCTTACTATTTGCCTGAGTGAGCTGCATTGTGTCTCCACTCTTCTCTTGTATAGTGAGCGGATCCTACTGGCAAAGTCTCTCAAACTACTCAGATTTTATACCCTCTAGACCACAAATATAAAGATGCACCCTGGAGTATGGAGAAGACCCCCTTCTCAATTCTTCACCTGGAATTTGAAGATTAGCCTGCCAGTCATTGTAACCGCTGTGGTTTACAGTTCGATGATCCACTGCACGTGCGACTTGGACGGACTGGGGGATACAACAGCACTGCAATCACTGAGCTACACCCAGCAGATCGTAAACCATCCGTTACCTCACCCTGATGCATGACTTCATTCAGCCGCATTGACACAATGCAAGACGGAGACCGCCAAAGACCAAGCGGCTGGCAGACACGAAGGTGGGGAGCGGCCGGTTGGCGGCTCATTATGGCCCCTGTGGTTTTCCGCAATCTCCCTGCCGGTGAAGCATTCTTGGGAAAGCTAGCGGAGGCTTCCAGAAAGCTGCCGACTTGCTTCAGTGGGGGAGTACCACAGTCAGCGGTTGGGTTCCTGTCCCTAAGTGGTCAATTACGGTTCAAGGGGAGACGGGCTGCTATTGTGCCAGCCTTGGCATCTTCAAAGACGCTGGTATGGCACTGATGGACCACATTGTCATGGTGCCAAAATGGTTAGACCAACAAGACAGACCTGGCTCTTCTCATCTGACCCTGGACAGAACCTGGAAACAGCATCAAAGGAAAGCACTATGCAGACACTGAAGAATAATACAAACCTCGCTCCCCTCCCCCCCCCCTTTGCCTCGACGCAGCCCTATTGATCAGGGAAATCGATTCTCTCAGAGAAAGAGGCACATAAGGAGATGCTGGGATCAAGCACACAGAGTAAATTGAATAACAGATTTTTTTTTTTTTAAGAACCACAAAAAAGTGCTCACGTATGACCTTATTTCCCGTTGAAAGAAATCTATTTCGGTGTCACAGAATAAACCAACAGTTGATTACAATCAAATACAAAAACTTTAAAATCCATTTGTCTAAAACTAATTAGCAAACATTACTTTAGCTAGCCAGCGTGAATATGTACAGTAAATTGCCCTCACCGCATGTTCTCAGTTTTCATTTAGCCAGATTCAAAATCAATTATTAAAGACCTTTCCACAAATTATGAAGTCATCGATATATTTTTTTCTGCAGGTTTTCCCACCATGGGCGTAAATTACAGGGGGGATGGGGGGGTTGTAGCCCCCCCAATAAATCAAAACCAGCTAATACAACCCCCCCAATAATCATGTTTCCCCCGTAAGGGGTGGAGACCTAAACCCCCGCAATGTTCCAGCCAAAGTTGCGCCCTTAACCCGCACAAACTCCTAAACAAATAAATGGAAGCAAATGCATTTCTACACATTATATCGGAGTCCCGCCTATTTCCACCTCACGTTCTAGCCCCGCGATGGCAGCTACACAGGTCCCGATACCTGAAAGAAACCCATTTTCCGCCTGGCTGCGCAGACGGAAGGCAGAGCGGCTTCATGAGGAGGTGTTCTGGTTGGTCCGCGTGAGCATTTCTTGCGGGAGTCAACGGCAGCGCGGCGATGCCGCCTCTCTGTGAGATCCCGGCTTTGTGAGCTTCACAATGGGCCCAGACCGCCGGTGCCGCCCGCCTCACGGCAGAAATGCCGCATTTCCACCACAGCCAGACCCACGTGCCACCGTCACCCCGCCACAGCGTGGGAGTCACACCTGCATGCCGTGCGAGCGGGAAAGGACCACGCCATTGCACAGTAGCCCTTCACAAAATGCCTGATAGCCGGATTCCACAATCCACACCACAAAAAAGCAGCAAGGACACTGTTGCTTTTTTCTTTTTTTTTCCCTGCAGTAAATAAAATCTCTCACGCACACAGATTAATGTGAAGCTGGTGGCTGTATGCTGCACAACACAGTCTGTGTGTAGCTGGGTTAGGTCCCAGGAGGGGACAGCCAATGCTCTGGGGATAGCTACTTAACTCAGATTGCTCTGGTAAAATATAAATAAAAAATAACACATTTGAACAAATGGCAATTTTTTGTGCTAATAACTTCCCCGCATCGCTGTCATGTGCTCTAAAATCTCATTTGATTATGATCTTGTTTAATTACTTGTTTCCTAATTGACTATGATATGTTTTGTACGAGAAATTATTTTCGGGGAACACATTAAATATCCGGCATTACGTCCGTTTTAGGTGAAGTTAAACGTTTGTCAGAACGTATTTGCCGAAACGGAAAGCAGCGACACCATTCCTGACGGCCAGTTAGCGGCCCAATCACACAATAGGCCTCGGCGGTTTAGGAAACACAAATACAAGCTGTCATTTACACTCATTTGTATGCACCTGCAGGTGCAGTCCTTCATTAGGGATGCGGGCCCAAACCTGGGATTCATTAGCATACGGGCCATAAATTAACTTTTTAGTGCCCTCGACTCGACCGGCCCACGTCTTTGTTTTAGCTCCTCCCCTTTTCCACATCCTGTGTTCGGGCAGGGCGGAAATGTGAGAAAACGCAGCCGGGCGAAAGCCAGCCCTCCATCAAGATGGTGTCAAGTGGTGAAAAGCCACAGCCAATACGTAACACTCACCCATAGGGGGCAGACGGCAAGACAAGCATCCTTAAGCTAGGCCGCGGGCAGGCAGACCCCCGCCATTCGCAATCGAGAGTCGCTCGTTATTGTCCATCTCCTGAGAGGCAAATGGCAGCCATTTTGAAATCCCTGCAGTTCTCTCTACTCTCACCCAACCTTCAAGCATTTAATACAAAGTCCAGGCTAAATAAAGTTCCCGAAAAGTTTCACCAGAGCCCTGAAAGTATGTTCTCTTGTCCTCTTCCACACAAGCAACTATTCTTACTTTGAAAGAAAAAGGAAATCATGCAAAACCCCGCATTCCCCGCAGAGTGAGAAAAATATCATGCAGCCGCCTTGGCTGTCCCTGTTCCTGCTCCTCCTGTGCGCAGAGAACCAGGATGCAGAGAGCAGGGAAAATGTTTCACAAATTAAAAGCCTGCGTCAGATATGTGGCTGCATAGCGATTTGCTGCCATCGTGCCACGCGGTTTATCCAGCATAGCCCTCTGATTAAACCCACCTGCCGCCCACACATAGCAACAACATAATGAAAAAAAAAACTTGTGAAAGCACTTCCTAAATGAAGAGGGGATCAGACTGATATAAGGCCTCAGATGATCAGTGGCAAAGAGTTGACTGCCATTCACACTGTACAGAATACCCTCCTTGCCAAGTCATTCTCAGGCAAATGGTAATCACAGGATGAATGAGGCCCAACTTCAAAACTATCGTTACATGTGTTCAACTCTTTAGCAATGCTGAGCATCACTTAAATGTTTTCAATCAGCTATGATGAATCACATTTCCCTTCTTCTGTCTGACGTTGCGGTATGAAGCAGAGACATCACCCTTTCGGCTTGTTTTAATCAATTTTGTATATTTACTAGAATGTCAAAGCAGAGTGGTTCTCTGTTATGGCCAACTCCTGCGTTTACAACAATATACTACAATACACTGGATATTTTCCTACATTATTCCAGTGCTATTTTTTTGTATTTTATTCCACTATGAAGACATTAAAAATGTGGCACACCTCAGTAAATGGCCCAAAACAGGAATTTAATGAAAATCACTAAAATTAGACATGGACATTTAAAAAAACAACATAAAATTGAGTGCTGCTTGCAGATGGCCTCAGAATGAAATCCCCACAGACAGTGAAATTCCGTTTGTCACAAGAACGCGTTCACGTTTTATCTACGGCTCCCCTTCACTGCGCCAGGTAATGTGAGTATGCGACGTCCTCCCTCATATCCCGCCACTTTGGTTTTACAGCGCAATTCAAAGGAATCAAAATCGGTCATTGTGTAAAATAGCGAAACATTTACCTGGGAATAAGGAGAGGGAAAAAAAACCAGTGATGAGTCCGTGTGCAAAACTGAAAACGTTAGTTTCCTGTCAAGAACAGAGGGATTGGGAACCTTTCAGGCTATGATTATACAGAATAAAAGGTCATAAAAGCCCATTATACCACTTATTGGGAAAAAAATGCCATCAACTTGTAATGCATCCCTCCAACACACCGCCTGCCTTCAAAGACTTTAGAGCAATACCTTTATAATAGATAGCAATTACAAGCTGCCAGCTCCTACAAACAGAAGCTTACAAAAAGACGGTACACTTCACTCTATCGGTATCAAAGTAATCCACGGAGAATGTTCAAAAAGCATCGATTTGTGCCCACAACAATATCACTAAGTGCGGATGACATCAGAGAAAAAAGTGCTTTTGTTTTATAACTTGGAGCTACAGCTGTCGTGCGTATATTTTTTTACTGTCTTCTGTGTTTGCAATCATGTTTGAATAAAGAATTACGTAATAAATAATAACAATAATAATAATAATAAACAACTCCAGGAAAGACGCTAAGCGTAATGGTTCGCAGAGGCAGCCGCGTGTAAGGCACATGGTGTTGGGTCTCACAGAACATACAGCGGCGGAGAGACTAGCAAGAGTCCACCAGCAGTGACCGGGGCAAATCGGAGCTCTGTCACGGCCGGCGGGAGACGGATCCACAGCTCGCAGACAAGCCTAGCTGTAACACTTCCAGACACTGGGCACATTTTCGCCGGTGGCCTGTTTACACGCTTTCTTTTCGCCCGTCGCTTTTCAATGCCGGTGACCGCTGACTCAAGGTGATCTGAATGCATAAGTACACCGCGCCTGAGCAGGTGTATAGGACACACCGCTGGATGTGCACGGTCCTCTCTCAGGAGTGACTTCAGAGGATGCCTGTGTAGAATTTCTGATCCAGTAAGGGACAAATGGAGTCACTCTCTGTGCATGATTGAGGAGTCAAAAGCAATGTAACTAGTGTGCTTATTTTACAGAATTATTCAAAATGACAAAATCAAAAGACAAAGCGACAAACATATATTTCGGATAACAGATCACGTAAAGATGATAATAAAATATAGGCAGGTCTTGCAGTGTATCTAATTAGGCCTACATCCATAAAGAGGAAAATAAAAAGAAACGTTCACATTGTAGACACTTCAGTCAAACGCACCCGTGGTTTTTGACATTTGATTAGGATATTGAGTTGGGAGTTACATCTCCAGCCAGCCCTTCATGTTAAAGCTGAGGAAAATGCTAACGGACCAATAACGCGAAGGGAACATTAGCTATGTTAATGAGTATTAAAAATGCTAGGGAAGTAACTGCCGTCTTGCGATCCTCCAAAACAGATTCAGGAGGGGATAAATTGTCCGATGCGGCAGGGGGATCTAACTTCTACCCCGCCCAGTGTGGCTACCGCTCAAGCTTTTATTCAAATTAAAATGCATAAATTACCGGAATAAACATGATGTAATAAATGTGACGCAGACTCAGGTTTGTTTGGACCCCTCTCCGACGTCCCGGTTAACATTGGGCCCATTCCTGCCAGCCCGGAAAAGGTGAGCAAACTGCAAAGCTATCTAATTAGGAGTACCACTGAGAGATTGCTAAATGAGGGGCGGTGGCGTCGTTCGACCAGAAGGGTCGAACCGAATCCTCCCATGTCTGTCCCTGAGAACAGATCTTCCTGGATGAAACCACAGTGGCATGTGGAGATCACTGGTCCCCATTTTTACACTAGCAGCAGGACTTATCTAGCTGAATTCCTCCAGATGGCTTGAGAAGCTTGTGTTGTGTTTTTGATAAAACTCTAAAACAATGAATTCTTTCTCTTCTACATTTGTTGTACCGTCACTTGTGATCAGAGAAGCATCTGGCTACAAACTCAGACCAACATTTCAGTGACCTTGGCAGCAGTAAGATACCGTCAGGCTCGGATAATTTTGCCTTGAGGTTCTTTGTTTCATTTAGAATCGTGATACAATTCATTATTGTGAAAGCCTGTTTACTTATTAAAAATTACATATGAACTTACGTATGCAGTCATCCGTCAACTCACGTCCTATCGAGTAGCGTCTGACCGTACTTACGTCACATAAGAACCTTAATAAAACTTATCAAGAGACGTCTGAAGCAGATATATTTTACCACGTGTGAAGCACATGGCAAAAACCAAAACTGTGGAGCCACTACAGAGGTTTAGTTAAATGCGCGTGACATTGTATTTCATGTTATATAGCATATTTGACCTCTCCCTTATAATTATCGAGATATATCCAGATTGCCTTATGTCCTCACTTCCGGGACGAAACCTTGACGTAAGCTAGTGAATACCTCATAAATACTTCTTCCTTCCTACTTCCGTATGTACATTGAATTGTTAACATATATGACATTTATAAAGATACCATCCGTAGAAACCAATAAGAAGATCCAAAACTGTCAAATCTGAGATGTTTTTCAACACAACAACTGTAGAAACCTGTCAAATCTGAGACACTGTTACACACCGTTTGTGGAAACCTGTCAAATCTGAGATGTGTCTCTCGAACCATCTGTAGAAACCTGTCAAATCTGAGATCTCTCACAAACCGTCTGCAGAAACCTGTCAAATCTGAGATGAATCTCACAAACCATCTGTAGAATCCCATCAAAGTTCAGACATCTTTTACACACCATCTATAGAAACGTGTCAAATCCTAGACGTCTCCAACACACCATCTGTAGAATTCCATTCCATGCTGAGAAACTTATTACACACCCTCTGTAGAAACCTGTCAAATCTAAGATGTCTCTCACAAGCTGTCTGTAGATCACTGTTAATGCTGAAACATCTTTTACACATTATCTGTTGTCCAGACAGCCCACATGATTGCCCTTAACATGGCCCTCACACAACCTGCCATGAACTGGTGACCCTAAATGCTCTTTAGAATGACACTGACATCTCCTACGTCCTCCTACTCACATGCATGGAGGTTTAGCCCCGTTCTTAACACAACTTCCCAATCTACCCCATCTCTCTCATGAAATTCTACAGCCCCAACATGCTTCAAGCTGGTTTTCACATATATATTGTGCATAATATCACCTATGAAAGTCTATAATGTGCCACTAGGGCTGAAGTCTATTTCATTTTCTGATCTGCTGAGGGCAGTGTTATCTATCTCCCCCTGAGTGTTTTATAACATGCCAAGGTGGTTCTGCAAGACTTAATCAGGCCACAAAGTGCCTTATTAAAGTTTGTGCCTGGGTTTCAGCAAGATCTCAGCAGATAATGACTCTCTGCTCCCCCTCCAACAGCACCTCAAGGAAGATCATTCTCAGCCTTGCCAGGATCAGTTCTCTAATAAACTCCTTTGTGATTAAGTAATTGGTAAATGCTCTGATTTTGGGTCAGGTGAGCACTGGAATGCACAATTAATCAGAAGCAGAAGAAGTTGCATTAGGTAATAGCTATTTTTTTCCACAATTCAATAAAGAAATCTCCGTGATTAAACAAAGAGCAAGGAGCTCATGTGACCTTATAATAATGAACTTCGCTTTTATACTACAATTTAACTGCATTCACATCAGCCTCAAAGACCATGATTTAATATCCAACAGAAATTAATGAATACTCTCAGCAACAGTGAAATACTGCGGCAATCGTAGACATGAAGCAAATTAGCAAAGTTTTCTGTATTTGACAAGGTTTAATAATACATAACCAAGGCAGATCACATCTCCTATACTGTAACTGAGGTGTGCCTATATTTGACAGATCAATCATATTAATTGCAATTACAAATATGCGATAAACACGCAGGTTCTATTGGTTCTGGTGTTTTGTCTTGTTTGATAACTATTTGTATTTGGTAATGCATATGGAAATATTCTGGGCTGTACGTTTTTGCATCGTTGTGGCTCAGGGACCCTAATAACCTAACCATATCCCCATCATTTGCTGTAAATTTGCATTTCAGACAAAGGCCTGATTTCCCCTGCCCCTCGTACCATAAAACACACGTTTCTGGGGTCTCCGCCGCAAACCAAGTCCCAAAAACGTAGACATTAAAATCTGCAGCATCCATCCATCCATCCACCAATCACCAATCCAGAACAGGGTCATGGAGGATTTGAAGCCTATCACAGATAGCATAGGAATCAACGCAGTGGAACACCCAAGATGGAAACCAGTGCAAAAAACAACATGGCCCACATTCTGGCCATAAGGGATATTATATTTCATCACGGTAAAGTCAGTGATGGCCTTCAGTAGTTTTTGATATTTGGTTGCTTGAGTTCCACAGCAACTTTCCAATGCACCCATTTATACAGTTAGAAGGTGTAACTGAAGCAATCATGGTGAAGTATCACACCCAATGGTACCTTTGTAACAGTTTGCATCCCATGAGCTTATGAGTACACTACCTACAGATCCTACCAAATACTCCTTATCCTTAAACTGTTACGAAAATGGCTGTGAATGGAATCACACTCAGTGAGCAGGTCTGATTCAAAAACATATATGATTCCTGCCACAGGATGCACGCTGAAAATTCCAATTACTACAGACATCTTCCTCCAAGAGGACTCACACGCTTTGAGACCTAACAGTCAAGAGATTATCGCATTTACTGAATCAACTAAATTACGCAACTGCACAACCCATTCTTCAGCCTTGGTGTTGCAAGAAATCAAACACAGACAGTCAGGCTTATCAATCCAAAATGTCACCAAGGTAGCGTTTCAGATAAACTGGTTTCTGAAAAAGCCGTCGCAGAGATAGTGCGAACGTCCAGGAATTATTTATTCCTCTAACTCTTATGACGGCTTTCCCAGACAAGACGTCCAAGCACACCAGCCTGGTCCCAGTCTTTGAATGTCGATCACTAAAGATTTCACACCACTTTGAAGCGAATGTTATTTATGTTCCAGGTAACCTTGTAAATAACAAGAATTTATAACAGTTTGTCACTTGTGGCAATTCCACAAAACCATAATGCTAAAAGATGCCCCCCCCCCCCATCTCACATTAAGTATGGGGCCCCTACTTCAAGATTGTTTATCTATGCAGACTGTAAATCCTTCACATGAGAAGGTAAGCATGATTAACGTTAAGAGTGAGCTAAGGAGTGTGGGTAAAGAAAAACATTTATTTCTGTAGTATTATGTGGTCTAATAGCACAAAAACTAGCAGGCTTCTAAATTTATCACTGAACATGTCAATGAAGTGCATTCCTTAAACGGAAGCATATATGCTTTGAAAAATCCATTCTGATTTCTTCTGAAATAGCTCAGATGAAAATGGGAGCTAATGGGGAAAAAACAGTATTGCAAATTTTCATTTAAGGTATTTTTGTTTTTAACGGGAATCATTTCCCCATAGCTTTGAGCACAATGCCCCCTTTCAGAAGCAAGAAATTCTGTTTCAAGACCTGTGATGCCAACAGGGAAGGCAAAGAAAGCATGACAGAACAATGAGAGAAAATAAAACTACTGACTCATCACATATAAACACGAAACAGATGTAAATGGTCCGGCCTGGCAGTACGAAGACACAGGGTCTTCGTCATGACAGTGTACACGGGGAACTTTATAAGCATACTAACGTAGAAGTTAAAATACTTGGAGTGCTTCAGGCTTTTGAGTCATCTTAATTTTGACAAATGGCGCAGAGGCAAACTGAAAACTTGTTGATGGAAGGCGGCAATTTGGCTGCTTTCAGCATAGCGAGGACCTTCGCTGCACTAATGGATAGTGAAAAACATTAAGTGACAGATTCACAATACATGTTTGTTGTATAGCTTGACAGTATAACAAGGCATAGGCAAAGACAGAAAACACCCGCCAGTTGAACGAGCTTCTGTCTTTTCATCCGAAACGCCAGAAACTCCTATTTGTCCTCTGTGAAGGTCATTCCACTTAAGAGCAGTGTCACATCTATGCCAGCAGTTCTGTCAACATCAGATACAGGCAGTTAGCAAATTATTACCCAGAGAAACTTGTTGACTGCAACGTAACTAAGGGTGTATCTCATCTTTGGCCAAACAATGATTGATTTTAAGTGGGTCTGCTAATCAAATCAGTGCCATTTGCCCTCCATTAATTACAATCATTGTCGACGATATTGATTCTTCGGTAAATCTCTAAGATTATTTCAGCTTTTGTGGTATTCAGATGCTGATCCGTCTTCACACGTATTAAACATTAGCACTTCAAAACTGCATTCAAAATCACCAAAATACCTATCTCAAAATACAGTAAAAGTAAAAAATAAATGATTTACAACCAACGAATGAAATTAGCATTGTTATAATGCTACAATCATTTATTTTGTATACAAAAATCAATTACGATGGGAAACTAGTTTTAAAAGAGTTCGAAATTTCATAAATTCCGTATCATGCACTAATGACACGTAGCACTTTTTCGTTAATAAAGTGTTCCATAAATAACTCAGAGGCGTTCATACTAAATAATTGCCTCAGAGAACTAATTACCCGTATACTGCATAGCACTGTCTACTTTAAGAGGGGCGCACTAGACAGACAGAGTCTAGACCATCCACGTCACAGACAAAGGCTGGTATAAAACACCATCTTTTTCCCCATTGCTGCCGGCTGAACAACAGACATCCTCCTTCAACGTATGAAAGGCTGAATTCTTGGCTTCAGCATGTCGATTTCCAGAAGCCGTTTCTAATAACGTCCGAGAAATGAACAGAAGCGCCGTCATGTTAGGCTGGATGCTCGTTCGCTGTCACCTTGCCAGCTTTAAATTAATAATATTCCGGAACATTTCCTATAACGTCAAATGACACGTACCTTTGAGAAACCAAATGAAGAAATCCAGACTACTACTGATGTATTTATAATCCTTCAATCCTTCAAGCAGAACTGTAAACAAAATGAAAAACAAAATTAGAGCACATCTGGGGAATTAAATGGGTTTTTTTTTTTTAATCAGCATATAAGCACATGAATGTTGCACTCATTTCTGTAGAAAAATTATACACCTGTAACTCTGGTTCATCCGTAAAGGTAATTTTTCATTCATAAAAAAATAAATGCATCTATTTTTAACTCTCTAAATGATGTCACATTTTCAAAAGGGCCAAATCATTATTTTTCCTTTTGAGGCGACCCCTGAGAGGAACCGATAAATACGATAAATTCATCAATAAGCCATGACTTGCCGAGAACATTTCATAAATATATGGTTTAGCACATGAGGTATGTACAAAAAACACACACGCTTCATTAACACCTTTGCTGTGATTTGCCATGAAATAAGCAAACGTGCCTTATGACATGCTGTGCTGCTGTCTTACACTTTCAGGGTTGTTGGTATGTGTGTGTGGTGACTTGTGACTTGTGACTTGACTTGTATTTTGTTTGGTTACTTATGATTAAGATTCCGGCTGGATAGAGGTTAAGGTTTTCATTGCTGGGATTAGGGTTTTGCCCATAGAAATGAATGGGCAGTCAACATAAAGATATGAGTACACGTCTGTGTGTGTGTGTGTGTGTGTGTGTGTGTGTACGCCCTATTCATACCCCTAACATCCTATCCTATCCAGGGTTCACCCTGCCTTGTACAATAGGCCGCCCATGGTGAGTATTGTATACTTGCAACCCAGTATGGGTACATGGAGATTACATGAATAGCAAAAGTCACATACTACTTAAACACATTATAAATAAATACAATATAAGTGTTCGGCACCACAAACCAGGTCCTCCGTGACAAACGACAGTGTCACAGAGTGTCAACCTAATGGATCCACCCCACACACCTTTCCTTGTTATGAAATCAAATCAAAAAACTTTATTTGTCCACGAGGGGGAATTTGTTATAGATTCTACAGGTCATCACCACCTCTTAATTGTGAAATCAACGAAGGTATGCTGCAGGAAAAGCATTGAACTTATGCTGCTAAACATTATATAACTAAAGTTACATAACTTAGATGTAACTATAATAACATGAATGAAAACAGTACAGGGATGTAGCGGCCGCCTGCAGGACTTTTATTTGAACAAATTAACATCCATGAAATGTTACATCAACGTAAAACCCATTATGCAAACCTGGGGAGGGAGTTCAGTCCATCAAGGTTAGGAAGACCACTCTGGTCACTTAAGACTCCTGGGGTGCTTATTCTCATTACTCTCCACTAGATTCCTCACAGCGAAAGCTATTTTTGATGTAAGTCATGTTGTGCGCACAGGATGTAGGCTTTAAGCCTCAAAGAGAGCTGTTATTCAACCTCAAACACTGGACTGCATATTCAAAAAAAATGTTTCAGTCAATCCGATGTAAAAAAAATGAATGTGGATTGAATGCAACCACAAGTGAAATTTAAAATAATGTACATTATAGTAATTCTCCTGGATACTGCAGCGATTGCTCAAACAAAACACATTAATTTTATGAGACCAGATTCCTAAAGGTATTTTTTTTAATGTTCATTTATCTGGTACAATTTACCCCCCACCCAATGTAAGCCTGACTCAGTATGTGGTCACTTATACTTTTCTCACCAGCGTTATTTTGTTCGTAGCCTGCTTCCATTTATCAAGTATCACAATTAACAAACAGCAGCACCCTAACTTTACATGAAATGTGATGCATGTATCTAACATTCGACTCCCGATGGCCCAGGAAGCTTATGCTCAGAACCATCACCAGCCATTCCGGTCCTCAGTACCCAGCATTGTATCTGCAAATTCTCTAAAAACACTGAATTAACTTAATCGTCATTTTACTTGACAGTATAATGAAAAATGTATATTTTAAAGAAAGAATTGTCATATTTCAGAGGCGTTACTCAAATATTCAAAATATTTCAGTGATCTGTATGTTTTCAGAAATACATCTGTCGATTTGGCTGAAAAATCTAAACGGTTAACGTGTGGCGATGTTGCTAAAACGTAGCTTTTTGACTTCCCGCCATCACTAAGGACGCGCACAAGATGTACCCAGGCGGTGTGGGCAAGGCAGACGTAATCAGATACATTTTGCTGCTCTGTCTCCCGATTGTCAGGAGGCCACAGACATAAATTAATCAGACAGCAAGCGTAGACCTTTGGTCATTACTCAAGAGCAATGTACAGAAAAACAGGAATGAAACCGGCAGAGTGGACCTTAAAAAAAAAAAAAAAGACAACCAATTAGTCAGCATCACACCACAGCTCGTGTCCAGGTGGGCTGTGCTGATCGCCGCCAGAGAGGAACTGACTGTGTCACAATTAGTAGAAGAATATACATCCGTACATTTCAGTATGCTTGTTTACAGTACATTGCTCTTCTACTTGAATGTGAGGATGAGATCAAACAAGTCACTTTCAAAATCCCTATATGTACCCAACCCTAGCCCTATAGCCTATAACCCAAGCCATAGACTTAACCACACACAGAACACACTCAGAGTATAATAATAACAATAATAACAGCAAAGCTATTCTCCTAATTTTGATTAAACATTAGATATTCAAAAGAGTAATGTGCATATCTGTATTACCTGCAAGTAAAATAACAATAATGTCTGCTGCTATTATTATTATTATTATTATTATTATTATTATTATTATTATTCAGCCATTCTATTTATTTATTCGTACTTTTTTTTTTTTACTTCATGGGTACAGGTAGTAAAAGGCAGCCAAGCATTTTTCCAGTTACATGAAGGCTTTTTTGGTTGAACTTATCCAAGCCGGACATCAAAAAACGAAGAAAAGGTCTCTTGTTACAACGGTGGCCCCTGAGAAAAAAGAGGCGGTTGTGCTGGGCTGGTGGAGAAAACCAAACATTCACAACCCAGGCGGGCGAAGTGGCATAATGGCAGGCCAAATCGCAAGGACCATGCAGAATCACAAATTGTGCTTCGTACAGCTGTATTGAATTATAAAAAAAAAGGCAATATCTACCTTTCGGCAAGTCAAATAAGAATCAGATGTGGGGGTAAAAGTTTGTCATTGCAAAACGCGATAAAAACGTGATAAAGGCGTGATAAAATTGGCGACAAGAGCTGAATATTTCCGAACACCGGTTTTATCTCTCCTTTGGCAAATGTTGAAATATATCACCGGCTACACGATCCTTGAATCGCTTGTATGAATATTTGTGGTTTGAGGTTGCATTGAGAAAACACGGCGCATTTGCACGTATACTGTGTCGGGAAGATGATATTAATGAAACTGGAAGTTACTCTGCGATGACCGCAAGTGACAGTAAGAGTCATTTAAAATTGCGACGGAATCTGTATGGCAGTAACGAGGGCGCACGGACACTGATTAAAAACTTCGGACAACATATATTCACAACAGCCCTGACAGCGAATGCCAATGGGAGCAGAAAGATTTATCACAGTCAAGGGGGGGGGGCAGTCGCTGCTGTGTACAAACCGAATATAAATCAAAGAAAAACTGACAGGCTATGGCATTGTCTGATCGGGCTCCTGCACAAAAGACTTTAATTATCCACCACTACTTTTTCTTTTTTTTCTGAAGATGATGGTGATGGTGATGATGAGGATGATGATGATGATGATGATGCAAACGTTGTACTGCGTCAGTCCTTCTTTTTACTTGTCATGGACATTTTGGAAATATGAATGGACCGTTTAAATTATTCCCGTTGCAAATACCTAAATCAAGAAATCACACTGGGAAAAGGCAGCTGTCATCATTTTAACCAGGAAAGTATGACCACGCACCTACAACGGCGGAATTTTGTCTAAGGGAAATAATTCTCCGTTAAGCTGATAGAGACGCAGCTACAATGTATACATCAGTCCAGTACTGAATACCACAATTATCTAAATCGCCGTTCATCAATACTGCTATTCCAGAATATATACTTTAAATTTTGTAGAAATAAATTCCAATTCATTGCACGAGTAAACCCATTTTTAATAACGCCGTAGTTTCTATTGATATTACTGTTATTGCTATTATTTTGTCTAACATAATAATGCGAATAATTACAATGGCAAATTAGTTCGGTATATTTGCAGACTGTGATAAACCATTAGGCTGAATTATACAGACTACTAGGCGAAGTAATGGTTACTTGTATCGGTCACATCCACGTTTTTCTGGAACTGCAATGCACTCCAGCCTGCTAAGCTTGGGTAAAAAAAAATACTCAGGGTGGCTGAAAAACAGCAGCATGATCATATATTTTATAAACATCCATTATAAATATGATGAACCTTTTTTGTCAATCGACTATAAGAAATTGTTCCGGAATCTTATACACAATAACACATCAAATCGGGGCTGTAAACCAAACCGTTTCCAGAATCCTGAACTCTTAAATAATTTCTCATCAAGTGGCACTGGTGTATGGTGATCCTTGAAACACTGGGGAATGTGTATATCCCTCGTCCACACTATTCAATGGGAATGGCGTTAATTCACCTACGCGCAGCCAGTCGAGACGGACCCGTACATCTGCGAAGCGCCGCTTTACGTGAAATAAGATCGAGCTCTTTTCGTTATTCCGAAATTGCAGGTAAAGTCTCGGAGATACGGTGGGAATCGCAAAGTATACAGCTAATTCGCATTTAGGATACTGCATGCGCTTACCGCGTCTCAGAAGATGCTGATCGGCTTGTAGAAATAATCTCCTTCTCGTCCTGCCATTGAGAAACGCCAAGGGTGAATTTACTCAAATAATTGTCTATATTTTCTCTCCGATTATTGTCCTTCAGGAGCAGATACCTTCTGGCACGGAAACGTGAACCTTCGGTCCCAGATAGCTCGATGAACTCCACATGGATCGCACAGGCTTTACGGATGTACAGTCAATAGCTAATATCCATTCAGGAGAAAGAAAATATTGAACGAAACGAGAAGCTCCTTATTTTGTATCCAGATCACTCTCCGCCTCCAGCTGAAAGCAGCCTCCACCGGCACATCAGGTCTTTTGCGTAGAAATGTGGAAAGGGGGGGAAACTCTTGACCCGGGAAGGTGTCCAGAGTTTTCGCCCGTATTTTAAAGCCCTGCAGTAAAGGACTCTAAAATTGTTTGCTCGGAAAATTGAGCTCTCTGTAAAAATGACAAGCCAATTCCGAAGCAGTGCACGGCGAAACACGGTCGGAGGCAAAGCAGGGAGAGCTGGTCCGCGGTAAAGCCCGGAGCTGGAATGCGCGTCACTTCACGGACTCGGGCTCCATCTAGCAGCAAAGGCAAGGCGCGCAACTGCCCTTACAGTCATACAAACTGCGAGACAAATAAAGAAAATTATAAACGTTATAATCGCTGCAATAAAAGAACAATAAAAAACGAAATACATAGCCAACGACACAAAAATGATAAAATATTTATTATTCTCATAATTATATAATACAAATCTCATGCCTTTATTATCGCCTATAGGCTATATGGTCAAATAATTTAGCTTTTCTTTTATGCGATCGACAAATAAAGGATAGGTATTAGAGAAGTCTTTGTGAGGTCTCTTAGCAACGCCATACGTAGGGGGTTGGGGTCATATAAAAAGGCGGTTGACCGCTGAGACCCGATGCTCAGCCTGTGGCCCCCACCGCTGGCCTCCCCCTACCCATTGATTGCAATGAAGCCGTTGCCATCAAAGAGCAAACAAGGGAGGGGGCGGGCGGCGCATTCCTGCAAAGCACGCCCATCATCATCTGACCGAAATACCTGTTTCACTGACTAATCGAACCTTTAATGGAGATAAATGAACGCGATAAGGTAGTCAAACCTGACCTGGGCGTGTGAATGAAAGGTGACCGGATTTCCGACCATTTTGTGTTAGAGACGTTTCACCTGAAACTCATCCACGATTTCTTTGGAAATAGGCGTAACTGTGAGGGTACCGCGGCAGCTGCCATTCAATGATCATTTCTGCGGGTCTAAGTAATTGTCTTTCCACGATTACCACTGCAAACGAGCAAGCTAAAAATGTACCTTTGACCTGAAAGTTATGCACTGTCCAGAAACATTGTACTTATAGCATAATATCCTACTTTCTTATGGGAACCTGCTTGTATAAGATAAAGTGACAGACTTTCGTCACCAAAATGAAATTATACTTGATTATTTGGTCTAAAATTGTTTCTCGTTTATTTCTAAGGATTGCAAGCATTGGATATTGTCCAGTTTCAAGTGAAACTTTACTGGGAAAGAACACAGTGACTGCGACAGGCTGTTTTTGTTCACATTGAAATAGGCATCTCACAAGCACGCCTAATCCAAGTGGAAGACATTGTATCATTTTAATAATATCACCTTCTTTTATTAACTGCAATAAACTGGCTTGCACATAAAGCTACCTCGTTATAAATTTTTGTGGAACAATGGAAAAGCCTTTTAAATTGGACATATTGTCAAATTAATTGTAAGATATAAGCTTTTGAAGCCATAACAGAGCACAGCGGCCTGTCTCTGTAGCGCTCAGCGAGGCGCCGGTGCCGTCTCTCTGTACTCAGACACACGGGCATGCGCTTCTTGACACCCCGTTGTCTCACACCACGGCTTGTGCGCAGCCCCTTGGATGTCGATCTGATGAATCAAGCCACACCTCCCAACCCCCCCTCCCCCCACCCGTCCCCTTCAGTCTGGCAGTTCACTCCACATTGACTCTATCAGCAAGGGGTAAAAAAGACATTGAAATGACAAAGAGATCTTCCCAGAACGGGCCGGATGCATCACCCGCATTCTTGATCCTTTTATGTAAAATAACAGTTTAGGGAGGATGGCGACATCAGCATTACACAAATGCTGGCTCATTATGTGGGAGATTCTTCTGGAACAACGCAAAGTGCTGCTCCGTATATTTTATACTACAGCGCTGCTTTTCAGATGGATCACTTTTTTAGAGAGACTCTAGGTTGGAGTCCCAGACTTGCCCTCACATCTACCTCACCTCTCAGGCCATACTGGTAGCACTGGTTTGAGATTCGAGTGAGAGATCCTGACCCAGTGGGATTGGGCAGCAGGTTGATTTTTGCCCTTTGCACAAGGGCCAAGAGGATTATGGGTAGTTCCCCATGCCCCATATCTAACTTTATGTCTCTGTAACGCCATTTAAACATTCTGCAAGTGTTAGAAGTTCAACCACCATGTGCAAAGTGCTGGCGGACAGCTTTGTGCCTTTTAAATAATATACCAGGTACAAACCCTAACAAAAACGTTTATGATTTTTTTATGAGGTAAAAAGCAATTCCTTCCATTAGATGTATTCACTGATGAGCAAAAATACATGCAGGGGCTACAGGGACAGACTTAGACTGATTTCTTCCCGCAGTGGCAGATGTTGAAGTTTTAATGAGGAAGTTTTGATTTCCTTAAGCCCATCTAACAGTTCACTGCAAAAACTGGAGAACATGTGGTTACATATGGAGTTTACATTGTTGTAAATGAATATCTATTTACCAGCACCTGTTAGATGAGATTCGTTTACATTTTATTCATTGATCAGACGAGGCATACAGTTGAGAAAGCAGGGTCAGCCAATCCCTGGAGCAATTGGGGTTAAGGGTCCAACAGTGAAATCATTTTGCAGTTGGCTGAACTGTTTATTTCAAGCTGACAATACTGTGTCTCCTGCAGTGGACTGACAACCTGTCCAGGGTGTTAAATTTGCACAAGTACATTGGAATCCTTATGTTGGCCTACCCCATCTTGCTCTCCATAACTTCGGGGTCAGTTAAGTGGTTAGGGTGTATGGATGGATGTTTAGCATGAATGAGATTTTACACTTTCGTATGTAGTATCTTAAAGCAGTGTTTCCCAACCCAGGTCCTTGGGGAACCCCGGACAGTCCATGTTTTTGCTCCCTCCCAGCTCCCAGCTAATCAGCAACACAGAATACCTGGTACAGGCATGCTGGGAGCTGAGAGGAAGCAAAAATGTGGACTGTCTGGGGTTCCCCAAGGACTGGGTTGGGAAGCACTGTCTTAAAGGATGCTTTCATCCAAAGTAGTTCAGTGTTCACACTTTCATGCAGTTCAGTCCAGGAATTTTAAGATAAGTCTCCAGTATAGGGGGCATGACAGTTCCAGTAGGGATTTTACTCTTCAACCCACAGGTCTAGTGCCTCTAATTATGGACATGAGGTTGTCCCTTTAAAATGGCCACTGGGCCAGTTCCTACAGTTTGGTTTTCCAGCTAGTGTTACAACTGTCTTTCCTATACAGGCCACACTGGCGGATTGGAAGAAAAAAAAAACACTTTAGTGTGTTTATCTTTTTTATCTGCTACCTAATTAACATGGGAAATTGAAAATGATATTTTTAAATGCCTGGATCTTTAAGAGGTGCAAACAGGTTAATTATCCATTTGCTATTCTTTGGAATAAAAATCCTTGAGGGACTTCAGAGGAAAGGCTGGTCATGCATTGTATTGATGGTCCACACAAGAAAAGTGTGGCTGGCGGAGACTGGCAATCTGTTCAGATGCTTAACTTGTGCTCCAGCGGGTTGGGATCGTAAGGGTTGGCAGTCTTATTGCGTGATTAACTTGTTCTGCGACTGCCTCTGATGACGTGCAATAATGGGCAGCATTACAGAGGTATTTTGTTGCAACCCATTAAGGATTTGCAGATCAGTGGAAAGTGAAATTCCCCTCAATATCCAATTTATTCTTGTGATTTAGTTGCTTGGGAGACTCATTAGATCATGTGGCTTGCACACCGTAGACAATCTCTTGCTTCCGGATCCTTCCGCCGACAGCCTTCAGAGGTTGTGCTTTAACAGGAAAATCCTTCTTACTGTTTTGCATCTGACTGACGGACCGGCATTGTATCCTTAGTCATTATGCCATCCGCTGTCGGCTCCCTACCTTCCCACACGCTGGCTCACACCTTGGGTTCCCAGTCCATGACCCCCAAAACAGCAGGCCCAGGGACTTGTGATCGCCATTTCCCCGACTGAGGGGGGGGGCGATCGCTCTCGGTACATTTCACCGAACGGGGAAGGGGATGTCCTCCTCAGTAACTTTGTGAATTTTTTTTTTATTAATATAAATATATTCTGGAATCATCTCACAACCCCCCCGAAGGTCACGACCCCCATTTTGGGGACCCCTGGATTAGATGAACTGCAAGAAAAAAAGGCACCACCCCGATACGGGTTGCTGGGCCATCCTGATCCAACATGTCCTACCGGTTTGGGCCCCATCGAGGACGTTTACTCTCATTGTTCTACCCCATCCACCCCCCTCCCCGGATACACTCACACAGGCCCTTCTGTCACACACCCTCACTTTTGCTCCTAGATCGTACCACTTCTACTTCAAAGCAGATCAGTCTTTAATAACTAGCCCCCAATGACTGTTCTCGCACCACTGTTGTCCTTTTCGTGACCGTTATTTTATCGCCTATCAGCGTACTTACTTTATTTTCACTGTGGCTGAGTTTTATCTTGTCTGATACATTCTCCGCACATCGTGTTCCCCAGTACAAATCATTCTGCCACGATGCTATAAAGGTCTCATTAGAATGGCTGGTACATTTTAGCTCGATGGTACATACATCCTGCTTCTTTTCTAAGCTTATTTTGGATTCATGTCGTGGTGCAGATATTGTGCCATTCTTACTACAATCAAAGGATTCTCTAACCTACGCTATACACCTATAATGCATTATAGCACATCCATAATGTATAAGGGTGATTCCTGTTTTGGTCTGTTTTCTGGAAATTGGAATGATTGTATTTTATGGTTTAAACATTTTGTCAGGACTATACCATACATAGCTATGAGGAATGCATGTTTGCCAAGCTCAGGGGTTGAAAATATTATAATTATGGGGTGTTTTTTGTATATATTTCTCCAGACGTTTTCCACCCTGTTAGGGACATGTACATGGTAATCACAGAGTTTAAATAATGTACAAGTCAAACAATATTGAACTTTTCTGGGATACAATGTGTCCCTTTTGCTATGATAAAAGTTTCATTCTTGTAGCATTAACAGTTTTAATTTTATGAAGAGTACAATGTCAGAATAATGGAATCTGTGCATTTGTCCCCATTTTGTTGTCTTGTATGAGGAATTTTATTAATTAGAAATAAAAGTATATGTAGATGCAGTATATGTACCTCATTTAACAAAACAATATACAAATATACCAAACACTTACTGTTGTGATTAGAATATTTTTTTTAAATCATTGCCTAACAGGGTGGAATAGAATATAACAGGGTGGAACCGAGTCGGCCTCTTAACAAGTAGATTCAGATTCAAAACAACAATACTACTACTACAACTAGTAATAATAGTAATAATAATACCACTGTAGTAACATAAATAATTAAGAAATACACTCATAAAATAATAATAATACTTTTTGATTATACCATTATTATTCATTATCATACACAAGAAATACACTTAAATAATAAATCTACAAGTAATTTTAATGAAAATAAAAAATATTCTTGTACAATTTCTACTCAGTAGGCTGCATATCCCATACATAGCCTAACAGGGTGGAACCTAACAGGGTGGAATATTTCTAGCTAATTTAGCTCTAGCTCTTTGAGTGAGCAACATTCAGCTAGCACACACTCTACAGCTTATCAGCATTTAATTTTAACATGTTTTAAAAAATATTTTTTCCAATAAATATTTCCCATAATATACAGTATACTAACAGGGTGGAACTTTAAGGGCGCCTCAAACCGGTGTGTAATATAAAATTGAGGAAAAATACAGGAGAGAGTGACAGTTAAAGCTTACCTTAGTCTTCCAGTTGAATTTCCCCCCCAAAAAACAAATGATGTCACTTCGTGGAAATGGCTGTATGGATTTGTAATCTTTTTAGGGAGCCAAGAAACTAGAGGCTCACAGGATGGAAAACGAATGCGGGGACATATAATATATTATATAATTACAGAAAACAAAATAAGTTTCACCAGATTTGTTTCTTTCTCTAAAGGTACTATACCCTAGTCTATCAAAATAATAAAGAATAAGTTTTGGTTTTTATAATTTTATGGTTTATATTTATTGAGGAAGTTGAATACATTGCATTTGGGACATGCTAAAATTAGCGTATATTCCAGAGAAATGGTGCTTTAAAGAGATGTAAAAAAATAAAAATAGTAATTTATCTTTGTTAGAGCAATAGAAAACACCTAAACACATAATAAAATAGGTTTGTTATAAAGATTTGCCTAATTTTATAAAAGAATAAGAGCCAGTTAAACACAAGGACATGAATATGTGGCCCAAAACAGGAATCACCCATAAGTATTGGCATAAGTAGTTATTATTGCT